CATTTACCATCCACTGTCCTGCTCTGGAGCACATTGGAATTGGGCTTTCCTCCTGCCTCCTGGGTCTAAGAACCCTATGGCCAGGAGGAGCAGAGATACTGCCAGGGCTCCCTGGTGGAGCGGGGAAGGATCGGGGCTTTTCTGGGGCACAGGGGTCCCCAGGGATGGACTGGAGTGTTGCAGGCAGTTCTGAAGGGGTCAGGAAAGGCTCGAAGCGTGTTGGAGGGGGTCTGGATGCCGGCAATCCCAAATCTCCCCACTGGATGAGAGCAGAGCCTGACAGGCCACGCTCAGAGTGGGGGAACAGCTCCATCTGAGAAAGCTGTGGGATGTGATAGGATGGGGTGAGGATGGAGAGTGGGGTGGGGATGGGGATGGGGAGCAGGGATGATGATGGGATCAGGATAGGAGAAGGAAGTAGCTCAACTGTGCTTCCTTGGGACCAGACCATGTTTTGGCAATGATCTCAGAGCCCTTCCCGGAACAGGAGTTGTGTCTGAGAAGCACCCAGCTGCCTCACCCACACTGCCAGTACTGCCACCAGCATTCCAGTGCCACCAGGACCACCAGCTGGTGCTGCAGGGACAATGACCCCTCAGGCAAGAGAAATGAGGAATGATAAAACGCTGTCAGGTGAGGGAAGGCAGATGCACAATGGGACACTCTGCAGGGAAGAGTGTTTTTCAGCACGACGGAATGAGGACACAATCAGAAAAAAATTCATTTAGAGCTTCTGAGAAAAGATACTTCCTCTGAAGACAAAAAAAAAAAATAAAAAGAAACTAAAAACCACATGCATGATAAATGACTCAGACGAACTGAATTTCTGAAGCAGGTAAAGTTACAATTTTTGACTTCCCCACTCCCATGTGTTATGAACAAAAATTCGGTTAATTTTTTTTTTGTGAGAAAGAGTTCTAGGAAGGCAGCCGGCTCTCTGTTTCTGCCAGGGTTCTTCGTGCTTTGTTATTGTAACCACGGGTCGTTGTAGCTTATCTCCTCTTTTGTATTAGTAAAAGCCCTGGCTGGGTGGAGTGATGACCCTTCCTGGAGGCAGTGCTCTCTTACAGTGAAGAGAAGATACTGGAGGGCGAGGATTATGCAAAGTGACTCCAAAGACCAGAATGCTTTGTGGGACCCCGACTCCAAACCCACAGAGAAAACCCCAAAAACAACGAGCCAAATAAGAATTGAGAGACTAAAGTGATGTCTGGACATGAGGAGCCGGTTGCTGAGCCTGCAGAGATGTAGAGCCCCTCTCGCCCTGAGCAGAGAGTCGTCCCGACGCCAGGACCAAGCTGGACAGAATCAGGGAAACTAAGATCTGACGGGGACATCAGACCCTAAAGGCTCCCACGAGGACTGGATCCCCCGGCTCTGCCCCCAGTGGACAGAGCTGCGCATATCCTCCTCCTCTGTGTCGCCCTGGGAGAGACGACAGGGACTGCAGCCCTGCCGAGCCGCCCAATCCTGAGCTGATCACTTTTAATAAAGGCATTAAAAAAAGGAGAAGAAGTCTCCTGGCCCTTGTTTATTTCACCATGTGATTCAATCAAGCCTTGGGGAGCAACAACAGGACAGGGCACAGAGAGTGCGAGAGGGACAGCAATGGGGAGCTCCTGGTGACCTGGGCAGTTTCTCCTTCATGTCCCTGACCTGGCAGGAGCCGCTTTAGGACATGGATCCCAAAGGAGCAAGAGGGACCAGGAAGCGCCGCTGATCTGCACAGACCCCTTTGCCTGCTGCTGCCCCACAGGGAACAGGCCAGCGCAATGTTTGCCTTCCTCCCTACCCCACCTTCCTCTCCTGCAGCAGCTGGTCTGCTCCTGCCACCCTCTCCCAGTGACGGCAGGGCCCTCCCCAGCTCCCCCCTCCTCTGCCCTGAGCTTTGCTTCCACGTCCCCTGCCAAAAACAGCCCAACACTCCCTCTCTCATCCAACAATTTCTTCTGCCCTCCTCCCCTGCACATCTCACTCCTCCCCACTGAATCCTTCCCACTGCAGGAAGCTGCTGAGGAGCCACATGGTCCATCCCTGGATTCTCCAAGCACTCACTGCCCATCCACTCTGACCACAGCCAGGGCCACCATCCCACTGCCTACCCAGCATCCATCCATGGAGGTGACCACCGTGTCCCCATCTCCTGCCTCACCCACTGAAGGAGATGATCTGTGTGAGACAGATGTCACCAGTGTGGCCACCCACAGTGTGACACTGCTCATCTGCCTCTGTGGGCTGGCTGGGAACGGGGCTTTGCTCTGGTTCCTTGGCTCCCGCACTTCATCGAGGAGCAGCACCGTCCTTTACATCCTCATGCTGACTCTTCTGGACTTCTTCTTCCTCCTCATTATGTTGCCCGCCACTGTGATCTTCCTGGTGGGGGACGTGTCCTGTTCTAACATCATGCCCTTGTCATATATAAGGTTCCTTTTTTGGACGTCACTGTTTTCTCACAGCTTGTGGCTGTGCACACTGACATTCATCAGCATCAAGAGGTGCTGGTCCATCCACTGCCCACTCTGGCTCTGCTGTCACCATCCCCAGCAGCTGTTGAAGGTCATGCTTTTCCTGCTCAGGGCCTTCTTAGTCGCTCTCATCATTGTCTTTTACATGATGTTTCCCTGTGCATGTTTGAGCAACCTGATTTTTGCAGGGTATCTCTCAGCTCCATACACACTTTCAACCTCCTCCTCGGTGCTCCCTTAATGCTCATTTCCAGCACAATCCTCTTCACTCATTTCAAGCCTGCCTCCCAGCAGCAGCAACCCAAGAAGCTGGACATTGTTATCTGCCTCATTGTGCTCCTCACTCTGCCCCTCAGCCTCTGCAATTTCCTGCAGCAGCTCAGCTACACCGTTGTGCCCTCCAAGTTTTATTTCCTGCTCACCTGCATCCACAGCAGCATCAAACCCTTCATCTACATCCTGGTGGGGAGGTGCTGGAGGCCCTGCTCCGTGTGGTCTCTCCGGCTCTCCCTGCAGAGGGTCTTTGAGGAGCCAGAAGAAAACACTGCCCACAGAAATGATCCCACCATGGACACCGAGGTCTGAGCCTGTTGATTGCTTCCACTGCACTGCTGAAGGACCCTGGGACAGTGGCTGAGAGATTCCTTGAGTCTCCTGATCAATAAATACCCACAGGATCACCCTCCCTGTGCTGCTGCATCCCCAGCC